GGGCCGGAGGGGAGGCAGGTCGATTTTCTTCTGAAAGCAAGTTTCGATTGTGGGGGGGCCCGAGGGAAAGAAAGTCGAGGAGGAGGACAACGACAAGGACTAGGAGGAGGAGGAGAGGGAGGAGGACTGAGACGTGGAGGAGGAGGAGGGGGAGGAGGAAGAAGACCTGGAGGGGGGGAAAGGCAGGGAAGGACGGAGATGTGGAGGAGGAGGAGGCAGAGGAAGGTGATGACAAAGATCCGAAACGCCACGTGGCGTGGGTGGGCTGGGAGGGAGAGCAAGTCGACGAGGACTAGGGAGGAGGAGGATGAAGAGGGGGAAGAGAGAGAGAGAGAACAGAGACAGACAGACAGACAGACAGACAGACAGAGAGACAGACAGACGGACAGACAGAAGACTGACCTGCTTGCGATGCTCCGTGCTGGGTTCCTCACACTGCCTTGCTGTGCCCGCTGCTAGCCCTGCTGTGCCTGCTCCACGTCTGCCCCTTGCCTGCTGTGGCCGCCACGTTGCCCTGCTTAGTCCTCCCTTGCGCAATCGCGGCAGTGGCGCGCGTGCAAAGCAGTTGAACGTCGAAGTGGGAGGGGGGCCTCGGGGGGTCGGGGTGTCGGGGTCGGGGGGTCGGGGGGTCGGGGGGTCGGGGAGTCGGACTCACGAGGCAGGACTTCGAATTCGAAGCCTGCTTGCACTACGGTACCGCCGGGCTGCCACTTTGCCGGAACGGCATTCAAACGGCCAAAACAAAAAAAAGAAGAAACGAAACCACGAGCTGAAACAGAAAATTCGAGGATGCTAATCTTCTCTGTATGAGAGCGAGGGGGCGGCGGTTGGGCAGCGCTAATTTTAGCGCTAATCATGTGCGCGTTTGCTAAGCCTGACTAGGACTAGGGTTAGCGATACCACCCGCCCTTTTCCGCCCACCAGCCTGTTGCCCTCGTCGCCACGTGGGCTTCGCCCAGCAGCATTACCTTATGCGGAGTTTCGGGCAGTCTCTGGACACAACAAGGCGACACGTATGAAAAGGCAGGTATAACACTCCGCACCGCTCGGTTGGGGGGAGGGGAAGTGTTGTCCCTATATTTATTGAAGGCTTCCTATTAAAATATGTTAGGATTGCAGGATTAGTTTGTTTTTGTTACGAGTGTTAGGAATTTTGCCTCTGTTAACTTGGCAGTTCTTTCGTCTGGTTGATTCGGTCGGTATATAACCAGAAACCATGGAAGATCTCCCAACCTCTTCGAATACTCTTTCAGACCCCGAAAAGGAACGAATCCGCTCCCTAATCAACAATTGCTACAATGAAGGAATTTTCCCAAAAAATCTTCGCCCACAAATAGTCCAATCTGGAGATGACTTTGACCGAGTTTTGGTCAACCCGGAAGTTTATCGGATCCAGCAAAAATGGCTGGCTGAACATGCCGTAACGATTTCTTTCGGGGGGGGATTCCTCTTCATTGCCTGTGAAGGTCAAGGAACGAATTGTGCGGATCCACGAGAATGGCTGGGCCAAAAACGGCAACGTCAATGTCCCGCCCAAACGTGGCACTTTTCGGAATGAAGGATTTAATATGGTCACCTACGTCGCTTTAGCGAAGGAAATCGCAACTTGGCTCCTGAGAAAGAAGGAAGACACAATCCTTCTAGATGGTAAATCATATACCCTCTCTATCAGGCCATGGATGTCGGAGGCCGAGTTATTTGATTGGCGTGAATCCATGCGGTTCAAGTTTTTTTGGATCCGCTGTCTACAAGTCCCGATTGGGGTTCTACCTCATCGTGAAGGGACGGTGGAAGCCGTGTATGGGAAGATTTTAAAATCTGAAGGGACGGTGGAAGCCGTGTATGGGAAGATTTTAAAATCTTATCCGGTGTTCAAGGACAAAAAATCTCCCTCTCTCTTGAATGTTCGTTTCGATGTAGAATCGACGGCTCGTTCTCGTTATAGAAGGTACATGGTGGTTGATTTGGAAGAAGGGGGGTTTGTCGAGTTGGAAGTGATCTGCGCTGCAACTCCTTGGTGTGAACGCTGTCGTAGACACTTCCACGAAGAATCTGATGATGAGTGCCCCTACTCTAAAAAACCCACAAAGAAAACATCGAACGTCCAACAAAAGGGAAAAGGGACTGCGCTTGGAGTCGAGGCAGTTCAACGCAAGAAGCATCCAGGAAAAGAAACCCAAGCCTGGCGAAGAAAAGAGGGGGGAACAGCACCGGTAATTCAAGATCCTGGGAGAAAAAAAGCTCCAGGGAATCCAGCTGTCTTCTTCATCTGCCAACAACTGCGATAAAACACGCAGCACAGGGATATCTGGGGGCAGTAGAGAGGGTCCAAGGGAGAAAAAATTGCAGGGGGATCAGGGAAAGAGCAGCGTGCCTACTTATAGAGATGTATTAAAATCCCCCCCCCCCCCCCCCCCCCCCCCCCCCCCCAGGAGTTGGGAGGGCTTGATATGGAGGAAATTCAGAAATCAGCGGACAGGTCTCTGACTGAGGATTCAGACACAGAGATGGAGGATGGTAAGGGGAGGAATGAGGATGAGGATGAGGAGGAGGAAGAGGAAGAGGAGGAGGAAGAAGAGGATATTGAGGGAAAAGAGGAAGAAGAGGAGAGGGAAGGCTTGGTGAGAAGCTCCCCCCCCGCCCCTCCAGTTCATCGCTTTCGCCGGAAACGGGCAAGGCAGCTGACACCCTGACTCACTTGGAAAAACCTTGTGGAGATGCCAGGTCAAGGCAAAGTGGCCTTATTTTTAGTCTTCTTGGCACTTAGATTTAAACAAGAAAAAGAGGACTCAGCTGGGCCGAGCCATTTTCATTGGGTAGATATAACCCATTTCGCTACCCCTCAGTCGGAAATATTGAAAAATATTAAGTTGGCGGAATATTTATCAGCTCAAGCGGTAGCGGATTGGTTAATCTATTCGGATAATCTGAGTTTGATTCAGTCATCGGCATTCAGGGATCAGATCCTTAAAACCCAATCGGAAATCCAAAAAAGGATCTCCCTCCCATTGCCTCTTCAGTCCAATGCTTTAGCAGAGGTGTTAGACACAGACTCCGACCGAATCCAAGAGAACGACGGCAAGGATCCACTTAATGGTCCTTCCCAATAAAATTAGAGTTTTAAATTGGAATGTGCGTGGTCTTGGCGATTCTAATAATACTTTTAAAAAGAGTAGACTCTCCTCCTAGATTTATTCGAATAATGTCCACGTAGTCTGTCTGCAGGCAACCAAACTCGATGCGGAGAAAATTACCGAAGCCCAAAGATGGTGGGCGGGTCCGCAATGTTGGTCTCCAGCAGATGGATCTAAGGGAGGGGTAGCAGTGCTAATCAACAGAGATCTAGATGTGGAAGTTTTTGACAGTTGTGCAGACACTGAAAGCCGCTGGGCGTGGGTGGAAATCGCAGTTGAAGACGAAGACTGGGCAATCATGTCCATTTATGCCCCAGTCGAATACCCATCCCGCATTGCCTTTTTTGCGGATCTGCCAAAATTTATCCCAGACACCGAAAATCTCATAATAGCAGGGGATTGGAACTCAGTCCTATCCCCTGGTCTTGACTCTCCACGCCCTGGATATTTAAGACTGGATGGACAACTGTTTTCGGATCTGGTTAACTCCCAGGGCCTCTTTGACACATATCGAATTTTAAATCCTGACACGCCAGGGTACACTTGGCATGGCCCCAAGCCAGCCCCTCGAGCACCCCAACCAAAGAAAAGGTTGGATGTCATTTTTGCAAGAGGCTCCCCTTGGGATCGCTGCATAGAGGCAAAGCTAAAATACGGATATATGTTAGACCATAACCCGGTGGTTATGGATATTATTGCTAAAGAGGTTATTGATAAACATAAACCACCGTTTAGGTTAAATGTTAAAATATTAAAGGACCCTGGTATCCCTTCCTGGATATCCTCTCAAGTCAAGGACTGGGAGAAGGCTAAAGACCTTTTTCCCAGCAAGAGTGAATGGGCAGACACAGGAATTGGCATCATCCAGGCAGCCATGGAGGAGTTCTCCAGAATGAAAGCGACGACTCGATCGTGGAAAGATAAATCCTTGCTTGCAATTATTGAAGAGGCGGAAAACTCAATGGGGGACGACCCTTTCTTGGAATACTATTGGTCAAACAGAAGGACAGCAGCGCGTTCCGAGCTGGAACAATTAGAAATTAAGCGTCAGTCCGATTGGTTAGAATGGTTAAAAGTCAGAGGTATTATTGGCTACGACCGGATGACAAAACTTACGTTTCGGTCATTAATCCTTCGTCAAGCTAAGCCCCTCATGCGGGAGTTGAGTCATCCCTTTGCGCTTTTGGCCCCCCTCGCCACAGAAACTTCCCAAATTTGTTCCTATGCGATGAAATACTTCCAAGACATAGTGACAACCCGACGGCCTTTTGACTCCTTTGACTCAGATCTTGCGGAATACTCAGATTTTTGGAACAAGACTCGGAAACAGGTTCCTTTGTCTCAAAGAAACCTACTGGAGGCTCCAATTTCTGAGCACGAGGCATGGCTGGTTTGCGAAGCAAATGGCCCTGGGCAAGTGCCCAGGGCCTGATGGTCTACCCATCGAGTTGTTTCTTAGTGTCTGGGAACCGTTTGCCCCTTTTTTGTGTGAGATGTACAACACAGTTCTCTCGACGGGCTCCCTGCCTAGAGGAGTGGTTCGGAGGATGATCTCTTTTCTCTATAAAAAAGGTGATAAAAAGGACGTACGCAACTGGCGACCGATATCCATTTTAAATGTGACTAATAAACTATTAGGGAAACTTCTTGCTATCAGACTTGCTGATCTTCTCCCCTCTTTAGTAGGGGTGGAGCAGGAAACTTTTATGAAGGGTAGATCCATCTTTGAAAATATTCTAACAACAGTACAGGCCCTTGAAATTATCGGTAAAGAGAGAAACCTGGTCATTTTAATGCTCGACATGGAAAAAGTATATGATAAAGTTGGCTGGGCCCTCGTGAACACTACACTACTATGGCTGGGCTTTGGCCCTAATTTTTGCACTTGGATTAAAACCTTACATGTGGATGCAACAGCCTCAGTTGTAGTGAATGGGAAACTATCGAAAGAATTTTTCTTGACAAGGTCTCTGAGACAGGGCTGTCCCGTGGCCCCCTTGATCTTTGTTCTTCAGCTGGAAGTGCTTCTCGATAATATAAGAACAAATCCCATAATTGAAGGTTTGAGGACCCCCCTTACATTACAATGGAAGGTGGGGGCGATTCCCGACGATCTCACAGTCGCCTGTGTCAACTCTCCGGCCTGTTTGTTAGAACTATGTAGAATTATAGATACTTATTGTGACTTGTCGGAAGCCTCAATAAATTGGGACAAATCAATTTTTTTCCTCCCCCCCGATTTTGAGTTGAGTGTGGAGTGGGGTCTTCGTCGTGTTCCAATTAATGCAGCTGACAGGTTTTGGGGAGTGCAGGTTTCACTATCAGACTGTTCTACAACACAGGATA